TCTGTGAGTATTCTTTTCGGCGCCCCGAAACGATAAAACATTTTTACAACGCACGTTGTAACCTCCTCAGCTGTTTTGGAGGCAAGTGGATAAGCCTCCACCCACTTTGTAAAGTAGTCTATAAGTACGCAAATGTACTGATTCCCACTTGAAGTCATTGACAACTTGCCAATTAAGTCCATGCCTACCAACTCCCATGGTTCAGTCACCTACACAAACAAAGCAGGCAATGTATTTTTGGACAACATTTGTAGAAGAAGAAGAAGAAGAAGAAGAAGACACACAATTATTGGAGTGTACTCTTCCTGGAGTTTGATAGGTCTATTCGCCTGGCACGCAAAACACAGTTTAATCTGAAGAGAGGAATAAAAAACATTATTTAGTAATTATTTCATACTTTTTTTATAGGAACTGGCACTGTTTATACAATGTAACAAAATGTCAGTAAAACTCACCCAGTTTTCGATGTCAACTGACATCCCAGGCCAATAATATCTGCTAGAAATGGCATGTATTGTCTTCTCCTTGCCACTATGCCCACCTGCCTCACTGGCATGGAATTCTTTAAAAATGCTGTCTGCTTCTGCAGCACCTCTGACCACCTTTACTTTCACCTGTTTTTCTGTGCCCTTATGGCGGATATAAAACAGTACTCCATCTATAAAAAAAAAAATTAAAAAAATCATGGATGTCATGCACTTAGTATTTTTGAGAGGTCACCTTTCTTTTCCCTAACAACAGAACTATTTGTGTTTCATGTTGAAAAAAACTTACCTCGAAGTATCAACTAACCCCAAAATAAAAATAACTGTTCTTAGAATAAAACTTTACTCTAGTTTTCTCTGTAATATTGTAATCATATCAGATTATTGAGTGTGTGTGTGTGTGTGTGTGTGTGTGTGTGTGTGTGTGTGTGTGTGTGTGTGTGTGTGTGTGTGTGTGTGTGCGTGTGCGTGTGTGCGTGTGTGTGTGTCAAATGGATATTAGATGCAGTTCAGGGTAGGATCAAGTTTCTCTATGTGAAAAGAATGTTTGTAATACTCAAAATAGTTTGTGTGTTTTAGTGTGCGTGTGTGTGTATGTGCATGTGTGTTTGGGTAGCGTGTGTATGCATGCTCCTAAAAAACTAACTTTTCTATACATTTACGTTAGTTAGTTGTCATTTCCACCACATTCTAAAAATTAAAAATTGTCTTTAGTACAAAATATTTTTAACAGTTTTTACAAATTAAAAATGAATCCACAATTTATGCGATGATGCTCCACTTAATATATTGTAATACTTATTATATCATATCTATATATATTAAATAAATATGTTATGTTTTTCACTATTGATGTGTTTTTTTTCTGCATTGTGGCCGATTTGTAGAGAAGTTGTTTGTGAATTTCCCATTAATTTCCTATGATCGGTCACAATTCATTGGTGTGTATGTGTATGTGTATAAAAAGTGTGTTTGTATGTGTGTGTGGGTGGGTGAATGTGTATGTTTTGCACTCATGTTTTGCCCTTCATTGTCGAGCACTTTTTTCCTGCATCTGCATTTGTAGATTGTTTTGTGTTTTTTGTCAATTTTATGTGTTCACATACCTATGACATAAGTCACCAAGTTTCGTAACATTCCGAAGAAGCTGTGATTTTTACAGTTTCAAAACAGAAAATGTTTCGGTCAAAAGTGACCGAAGAGCACCTGAGGGTAATATTAACAAATTCTCTTGTAATCTCATGTGTCCTTCAGCCACATTATTTACATTTATGAGACTGTGTTACGTGACTTTTGAACAAATTTTTTTAGTCTCCTTAACAAGCATAAAAGTACTTATCTGTATTTAAATGTCAGACAGAAACATAAGGGTCAGTGACGTGCCGCACTGATTTGCACTTCCAGGAGCAATAAATATTATATATTTATATAAAATAGGTTTAAAATGATATATATGTTTTAATCTCACATCATTTGTCCTCCTCACTGTTCATAATTGTGTGAAAATTTCAAAAATAGGTAACTTTTAGACTATTAATGTGGTCAAATGTCATGCGGTCAAACGGAATTCACTTAAAGTTATTTAAGACAATTGCATTTAAAATTATAAAAAATGTTTAAAAATGATAAAAAAAATTATTTGGCATATTTTTTCAAGTCTTAAGATAAGGATAATAAGATACACCTTTAAGAAATGTCATTAGTATCTAAAACAAATTGTTCCGCAAAGACACATTTTCCCTATGTCATACGGTAAAACAAAGTTTAGAAGCCATTTTGGAACTGAATATTAATGACTTAAGTCATGTGACATTTGATGACATCACTCAGAGGACCCCTGAAGACCAGCCAAGTTGAAGGTAAGTTTAAGATTTTGCTCCTACATTTGAGGTAATTTCACCTTTTCCAAGTGTGTTACCATGTGTCACAGATTTGGGTGTCATATGGTCAAACGTCAAAAAAGGGTTTAATACATTTAAAATTTGAACAAATATTGATTTACAGGTGAAATATAAAGTTTAAAGTCAAGGTCAAGGGTAAAGGTGGAAGGAGGTGGCCAAGCAACTGTCTGTTATAAAAGACAAAGCATAAAACTGTCATAAGGGCAAACAAAAAATGTCATACAGACAAACGATTTTACCGTATGACTTGTTATACCATATGACACAGAGCATTTAACTGAGTTATTTAGTTATTTCTTAATTGTTATATCACATATATAGTTTGTACAACTACTATGAATTAATATTAACATATATAATATATTTCTGCCTATTTTAAGCATTTTTTCACATAATTACAGATGCCTCTTTCTAGTAAGGAGAGGGGTGGACGTTTCCGTGCAAAGCTAAGGGCAGATCCTGCAGCTAGAGAGGAGAACCTAGCCAAGAGGAGGGAAAGGTATAACTGTGAGAGTATATGATGTCAGTAATGTCAGGATGTGCCAGTTTTGTCAGTAGGCAGTATCTATAGTATCTTATCTATAGGCCTGAGTTGAAGTCAGCATCACAATGTTTCTGGAAAGTGGCTTCATATAGATATATTATTCACGTGTGTGTGTGCGTGTGTGTGTGTGTGTGTGTGCATGTGTGTGCATGTGTGTATGCGTGTGTGTGTAAATATACATACTGTATATATAAATGTATGTTTGTGTATGTGTATTTGTATTATGAATAAATATCAATAAATGTACATATACACACAGGCAACGGCAGAGGAAACAAGCTGGACAGGGTGATTATTATCGTGCCGTCAAAGAGTTGACAGTAGCTGCACATGCAAAGAGGAAGGAACAGTGGAGGCTCAACTAAATGTTAAAAACTGATTTTTTCACAAGTTATCTCACTGTTGTAAATCTGACTTATATTGTCATGTATTACATATAGCACGTCCTATGTGTTCCTTGTATTGAAAGAGAGTTGAGTTGATTAAAAGAAATGTTCATGTGTTGGTAAATATATTCTACTGTTAATAAAAGGTTCACTTGAGATGCCTTGTGTTTCTTTGAAATCATTTTGAATTGGCCTACATCAATTTATCAATAAAAGTGCGCGTTTGTGTTATAAAGTCAAATGTGCATAGGTGGGGGATGGGTAAAAAGAAATCTGGCGGGAATATAATATGGTGGGATCCACTCAGTGTAAGAGACTGATCGATGGATGACAGTGTTTACACATGATGACAATTAAAGACATCACCAGCATAACTGCAGTGTGTTATAAATACTAAAGGGGGGAACGAAAGGGGGTGGGAGACGGGAGGGGGGAACCACTTTTTCTGGGCCAGCAGGTAAAACGGTTCCCCCTGTGTGTTCAGTGTAAGAGACTGATCGATGGATGACAGTGTTTACACATGAAGATGCCACTTAAATACATCACCAGGATCACTGCAGTGTGTTATGAATCCTCAAAATGTAATATTGCAGTGGGGGAACCACTTTTTCTGGGCCAGCAGGTAAAACGGTTCCCCCTGTGTGTTCAGTGTAAGAGACTGATCGATGGATGACAGTGTTTACACATGAAGATGCCACTTAAATACATCACCAGCATCACTACAGTGTGTTATGAATTCCTTAAAAATGTAATATTGCAGTGGGGGAACCACTTTTTCTGGGCCAGCAGGTAAAACGGTTCCCCCTGTGTGTTCAGTGTAAGAGACTGATCGATGGATGACAGTGTTTACACATGAAGATGCCACTTAAATACATCACCAGCATCACTACAGTGTGTTATAAATACTGAAAATGTACTATACAGAACCACTTTTTCTGGGCCTTCAAGTAGACGAATATCATAAAATAACGTAAATGAGAATAACAACACAGATTACTTATTTGTGCAGTGCAATATAGTTTATTTATGTCTACAGCAAACCGACACACACGCAGTAATAAAAATAATAATAAAAAGAACGTATAACTAGAATTAGCACGTGTAACGTTATCTACATCCGATTGAGCCATAAACATCTGAAAATATACATTCTATGCTTTAAAACCTGTATGCAATTGCAGATTATCTAACAAACAGAGTAAAATGTACATTACTGTGATGGAGAATAAGTAAAAACACCGCGATGCACAATTGCACAATATGGCTAGGAGCTTGCGCGGAATAATGACGTGAGATCATGATTTTCGTCTTGCTGTTGCGCATGCGCGCTGAAGGGGAAACAGGGGAATAGAATTTTCCGGAACACCGGCACCAAAGCTCTCTCGGGCTCTCTGTGGGCGGGACTGTGATGCTCTACAATACTTTCAGATTTGTCGATAGTGAAACGTGTCGTCGACACATGATCTCAAGGAATACATTGGGATTCCGACTAGAATCCTGGTACGTTTGCGGGAGCTCTAAGCTGGAAATAAGTAACGTTAGCCTATAACGGATCAGCTCTGACAGCGTCAGCCGGTGCTAGTGAGTCGTCAAGACGCTCCGCTGCCAAAATATTCCAGTTTTCCAAAAGCAGATTAGAGCCCTGCTGCAATAACAGTCGTTATCGCTGTTTAGAAGAACGATGCGCAGTTAGCTATTTGTGTATCTGCGTTTTACTGTAACTTCGTCAGGCTATGATACATAACTTCCGTGTTTCCACGCGTAACGTTAGGTCCAGACGCACAAACGTGTCAAATAAAGGACCAATGTCTTATCAAAAAACAAGAATGGGTCAGTCAGAGAGCGAGCACATTCATGTTGCTTCGAGGCAATGCAGTTCAGGCGAAGTAAGTTGAGAACTGATCAAACTGGCCTAGACATAATGCAGAAATGGACTGACTTTTCTGTTGGAAAATCCAGTTAAATACGGTAGATGTGTTTGGAACACAGTGGTTTCATTTCTTTTTTTCTTCTTCAGTTGTTTGCTGGTTTCTAGCTGGTCCAAGGGATGCAGGGATGACCTCAAAACCCGGAAGACTTGGACTAGTCTAGATTTTCCTATGGGGTTTTAATGGAATTTTTCAGTTTATGAGCACAAAAAAGTCCGTGGTGATAAACATAACTTGTGATAATTGGATTTTGTTATACAAATTAAACTACACACACCCATAGCGTAGCCTACGCGATTTTTGAAGCAGCTATGTTTATTTTCGAAAACGTATGTTTCTAATAACTAGGCTAGACAGTTTGGGATGTGTGTGCGCAGTTTACATTGTAGAACAAAACCTAAGAGTATCGTCAAGTTATGTTTACCACAGGCTTTATTTTAGTCATAAAATGAAAAACCCCATAGGAAAATCTCGAGGGAACCAGTCTTCCCGGTTTTGACGTCAGCCCTTCACCACTCTATAAGCCATCCATCAGCTGGTCATACAGGTATGAAGTGGGCAAACTAGTTTCTGGAACATTGTAGTTGATGACCATCTAGAAACCAGCAACCATGTTCTACAGCTGGATTTTCCAGCAGGATCAGAACTGAAAAGTAGGCTAATCTTTCTTTCTCTGTCAGTGCACAGTTTTGCAGCCAGATGTTCCTCTAGCTGTCGTTGAGGAGATCCTACTGAACCTGCCTGAACATCAGGTGGTGCGAGTCTGTCGGCTGGTGTGTCGTGAGTGGAAGGAGCTGGTGGACAGTGCTGCACACTGGAGAGAGCGCTGTCGGAGAGAGGGGATCCAGCCCTGTGATGCTTCCAGACCCCCAAAGGACTGGCGCCTGTTTTACTTTATAATTAAGAAGCGACGGAACTTGCTCAAGAATCCCAGAGCTGATGGTGAGCCACATAATTAGGACTGTACAGAACATATCAGTATAAAAAAAGAGAATATTTGTGCTTGTGGTTTTTATCTGATGTTCTTATTAGATGATCTTCAAGGATGGGAGATTGTACAGAATGGAGGTGACCGTTGGGCAGCCGAGGAAAATAGGAAACCATTTCCGGACGACACAGTCACCAAATGTTTTATAACATCTTATGGGTATGTTTGATATTTTAGATCCTTCAAGAAAGTTCAATCAAACATGAAGCCAATCCACACATAAATCACTCATAAACTTTGTCCTCAGGTTATGTTTGAAACGACAGCTGATTGATTTGACGAAAGAAGGTTATAGTGGTGATTTCATGGATCAACTGCAACCTCATATCAAAATATCAGACTGGTGAGAGTCACTCAAACTCCCATTTCATGCTACAGTATCTTAGCTATCACACATCATATTTTATGTGATTAATTTTTGTGAATGACCTGTCCATCTGGGTCACATATGCCTTGTTGCAATATGACAACGTGATATTGATGTTTTTATTTATATTTTACATCTGTAATTTTTATTATTATTGCAATAATCTGCATAAAGTGTAATTTTGTTAAAACAATTCAAAAGTTAAAACATAAAAGATATTTTGAAAAATTGTTGTTGTTGTTTTTGAGCCTGTTGACTTTCAAAACATCTTTTTTATGTTCCACATTAATGATAGCAAAATTTTAATCTTTGGGTGAACTATCCCTTTGAGAACGCAGTACCTGTGTTAGGTACAAACCCATTTCTAATATGGAAGCACAATTATGAAATGTCTTACCTACAGGTATGCGCCACGCTTTGATTGTGGGTGTCAATATGAGGTCTGTGTAGAGTTGCTTGATCAGAAGAAAAAAACCATCAAATCCTTTCAGCCTGAAAAAGTTTTCTTTCAACAGTGGAACGATGAGCCGTGGTGTCAAGTAAGTAGAATAATACTTACAATTATTCTCCTATTATCAAACTAAAAGTCAAAGTCTGCATTTGTTTTTGTTTATTTCAGATGACACACGTCTTTAAGGATTATGGACGTGGGGTTCGGTTTATTCGTTTCACTCATGGAGGGGTGGATACACAGTTCTGGGCAGGCTGGTATGGAATACGGGTCACTAACAGTAGCGTGGAGATCTGTCCTGCTGCAGAGAAATAGTGTCTTCCTGCATGTTTTTTTTACATTCCTAAATTTACACATATAACCCTCAGATGAGGAATTCTAATTATGAATTATGCTATAAGGAGATACCAAGAATGTTATAACATTACAAAGTTCTGTTGTAAATGTTAGTGACTATCCATACAGCCGGACATGCACTGCTTATGATATAATCAATTACTTAAGTGCAATAAATTACTACAAAGTTACTGTGTGTAAGTGATGTTAATCTTTGAAACTTGTACACTCTATAATATAGTTGATTAACGTCAGTTGTAACAGTTAAGTGAAGTAAGAAATGTGAGCTCTAGTGGTAGAAACTTTACTAGTGACCCCAACGGCATGTGCAATTTTTTGAAAAAGTTCCCATTTATTCATGCTATAGTAAAAAACCCATATTTACAGTATACATGTTTCATTTATTCTGCAGCCGGGTTGTCTATGAACAGTATAGATATAGGAAGGAATATGCAGTGCATACATATTATTAGTTACACCAATATTCTAATCATATTTTATTTTCCAAGCACATTATACCAATTCCAAAACACATCAATCTTGATAACCACTAGTAATTTTGTATATAATCATTTATAGGTGATAATGTGATATATAATTGTTAACGAGGGCTCCAAGTCAAAAAGGCCTTATATTCAGATGTGCATAGTTATTACGCAGGTTTTATTTTACAGATAAGATGGGCCAAAAAGATATTTAACTCACACTAAAAAAGTTTTAAAAAATGTTTTATATATTTAAATGCCAAGAGAAGAATGCAATACTATAGAAATTGTTAAATGAATGTGTAAAAAATTGACAAGAAATGCTTATTGGGGCAGCAGGGTCACAAGAACAACTATCTTGTCTAAAGTGTCTAATTAATGTTCCTTGTAATAAAACAGAAGATACTTTGTTGCTGAGTTTAGACAGACATTATATGGTTTCTATATTCCACCTAATGCTGCAGTAAAATGGTTTAATGAGGTGTGCATATGTCGGACGTCCCCTATAACAACTGGCCATTCGTTTTTTCTACTTATTAGAAATTAGGTCTTTATAGGCCTTTGAAATCAAACAATGTCATATCTCCAAAACGCTGCAATGAAGTGGTTTCATATGAGGTAGACTATTCATATAGTATAGGACATTGCAAATAATTATGCTGTAAACACATCTTAAATAAAACAAGGACTTAAAATGTGTCCTTTAAAAAAAAAAAAAAATTATTCAAAGTAATACACCACTGCCACAGACACTTACTATGAGTAATAAGGATAACAAAGTACAAAACAGTCTCAAAACGTGAGATCTTTTTTAAAATTATCACAGTTCTGGGCAACTCGAAGAAAAAAGAAGGAAGGAAGTGGGTCTCTGCTGTTTCTGAAATTACCATAATAAAAGTAATGCGCGCACACGCTTTTATTTTTTATTTTATTTAATCGCCGCCGGATGCAGTGTTACAATATGAAAATAAATAAATCATCAAGCCAATCCACACATAAATCACTCATACACTTTGTCCTCATGTTATGTTTGAAACGACAGCTGATTGATTTGACGAAAGAAGGTTATAGTGGTGCTTTCATGGATCAACAGCAACCTCCTATCAAAATAGGTGAGTGTTCGCTCAAACCATGGCTGAGTAGTAGCTGCAGACTTGGAGCCTGCAGCTACAGTCCCCCACGTACTACGGTGGCCGAGAGAGCTCAACACGCTGCAACAGAAGAAAACACATACAAATAGAAAAAAACGCATGCAAATAAAAAAAACACCCGCAAATTAAGAAAACATCTTCATCAGTTTCACAACACATGTGTGCTCCAAATACTCACAACACCACCAAATACAGAAACGCGCTGCAAAAGCTCACAACACAAATACATAAACGCGCTGCAAATAACACGGACCACAACGGAAATGTTTCCAGGGGAACCAAATAAGTGACGAACCCGGCTGGGACGTGCTGGCATAGATAGATATCCATAAATCGGCGGCGGTACGAAGATGGCGAGTTGAGCAGTCGTGTTTTCTGAAGCTCGTTATAGTTGTTCCCAAAAGTTTGTCTGAAGTAAGTAACTCCAACTGATTTGTCACGCGATGACTTCACAAAAACTAATTAAACCTGCTAAACTAAAACTAGACCCCAAAGGAAAAGATCTGTCGCCTAATATTGAAAAGAAAGTTGAGGCCAGAGAAACGGAGCACGACTACGCAATGGAGGTCTCTGTAAACAGCAAAAGAGGACGCGGTGAGGCCTCTCTTCCTGCAACGCCAAGTAAGAATCCTGCGGAAAAAAAGGTCAAGCCTACAGCTGACAGTGAGAAGGCGGAAATCTCCAACGAAACCATTTTGGAGGGAATTTTAAAACTTGAAAGGAGGGTGGGTGAGAAGCTGGCGGATTTAAGCGAGCAAACTAAGCAAAGCAGCGCCATGATTGCAAGCTTAACAAAGGCGATTCAGTTCAACACAGAAGAGGTAAATGAGTGCAAGAAAAGAGTCAAGGACTTGGAGATTCAAAATGAGCTTCTTCGCAAGGACAACGATGATCTAAAGGAGAGGGTGAGAGAACAGGAAAGATATAGAATGAGATGGTGTCTTCGTATCAAAGGCATTGAAGAAAAAAAAGATGAAGCTATCAGATCACGTGTCATTCAGATTCTAAGCAAGTTTGCACCTGAGATGGAGGGAAAGATGGAAGAGGCTGTTGACATTGTCCATAGGCTGGGAAGAAGGATAGACAATAAAAACAGGAATGTCATCGTGCTGTTCACTCAAAGACGGGTGAAGGATGAAATCTGGCGTCGAAGCAAAAATTCTCCTATTTGCAAGACGGAAGGAGTTCGTTTCGCGGAGATGCTTCCTCGAGAGGATTTGGAAGACAGACGAAAGCTTTGGCCTCAAATTGATCAAGCAAGGAGGGCAGGAAAGGTTGCGTTCTTTCGCGGTCCATATGGCTTCATTGAAGGACGACGGATCGACGTTGACGGGTGAAATTATACATTTATAAGTGTCAATCAGGTAATTTAGTTGGAAACTTTTCAATGGGACACCAGAGCTCTATTTGAAAGTCGCGGTTCATACAGTGACTGAGTGAGCCTACAAGTGGTTCGATTTTTGGTTTTATAGTTCTCTAATTTTCGTTTTTTTTTTTTTTTTTTTTTTTTTTTTTGCGTAATGATTAAGGACAAAATAATCTTCGGTTCTTTGTTAGGGGCTTAAAGGACATTGTTAAAAGGAAAGCAGTTTTTTTATTTTGTAAAGGGCAGAAAGCTAATTGTGTGTTTCTACAAGAGACTCATTCTTCGGACTCGGATGCATCTTTCTGGACTAATCAATGGGGGGAGAAGATTTTTTTCAGCCATGGGTCTAACCGTTCTGGAGGAGTGGCAATATGTTTCAACAAATGTCCTGGGGAAGTCATCGTTCATAAAGCTGATGGAAGTGGGCACTGGTTGATGGTGGTACTAAAAATTGATGGTATTTTTTTCATTCTAATTAATATTTATGGATTTAATAATGCAGCACAAAATCAGAAATTATTAGAAGATATTTCTAATATGATCTCCGAAACTAAAGTAAGGTACCCATCTGATAATGTTTTAATAGGAGGGGACTGGAATCTGGTTCCTGACGAGTGGAAAGATAGATGGCCTCCCAGACTTAACAAGGGGCGGCTTAATGCTAGTGTTGATTTTTTGGTGACAGAAAATAATTTGAGTGATGTTTGGCGATATTTAAATCCTGAGGTTGAATGCTTTTCATGGTTTAAACCAAATGGGGAGAGCAAATCTAGAATTGATTATTGGATGGTCAGTGACAACATTCCAAAATATGCTGTAAAATCTACAATTTCTAAAGCTCCGTTAACGGATCATTGTTTCATAGATCTCGTTTTAGAACCCACAACTAAGCAATTTAGAAACAAAGGTTACTGGAAGTTCAATGCCTTCCTTTTACAAAATGAAGAATTTTGCAATAAAATTAAGGAGTTAATACGAGATATAGAGATAAATGATTCTTTTGATTCTAATATAAGTAAATGGGAATTTCTAAAATTTAAAATTCGTGAATTTTCCATTGGATTCTCTAAGAAACTAATAAAAGAAAAAAAGAGAATATGAAAGGAATTTAATTTGTGAAATAAGTCAGTGTTGTAACAAACCTATTTTAAATGATTATGACAATGATAAGGTGATGGAGCTGCAAAGTAAATTAGATAATTTGTATCTTGAGAGGGCACAGGGTGCTTATATAAGATCGCGCGCTAAGTGGATTGAGGAAGGTGAAAAAAACTCTTCATACTTCTGTAATTTAGAAAAAAATAGACAGCAAAGGAACTCTGTCAGTAGTTTAATGATTCAAGGTGAGGAATGCAAAGATTATAAAATAATTGAAAAAGAAGTGTTTCAGTTCTATTCTAAATTATATTCCTCAGATTTCTCTTCCCATGAGTCAGATCTTTTTTTTTGCTCAAATTCAGAACAATATTCCCCGTATTGAGGAATCTTTCAAAGTTTTATGTGATTCGGATCTTAAAATAGAAGAATTGGATTCAGTTGTTGAGAAGATGCCTTTAAACAAATCCCCAGGGACAGATGGGCTCACTAATAATTTTTTTAATAATTTTTTGGGGAGATTTGAGAAATCTATTTTTCTGTGCCCTTAAAGAAGGTATTGAAAAAAAAGAGTTGATTGAAAGTATGAAGCAAGGTTTGATTACACTGATTCCAAAAGCTGGTAAAGATAAGAGTCTTAGACAATCTGAGGCCTATCACTTTGCTTAACATTGATTATAAAATCTTTTCCGGGGCTATCGCTGCTAGGCTGAAAAAGGGTATTTCTACTATAATTAGTGAGACACAATCAGGGTTTTTGGCAGGAAGGTCAATTCATAATAATATTAGATTGGTTCTAGATTTACTCGATTATAGTGAAATGGTTCAAGAGAGTGGGCAGGGGCGGCCTTACCTATGTTTCACCCGTTTCAATTGAAACGGGCCCCGCCCTCCAAGGGGGGCCCCAACAGACCAGCAAAATCCCATTCATTTTCTCCGTAGGATATTGATTTTCAGCCATAATGTCTAAACCATCCAAGGTAGATTGACCACGAGCTGCGAGGTTGTGAAATGAAAGTTTCTGCTCCTTTAAAAGCCACAAGCTACGAAATCAACCTTGTTATTTGCAAAACACTGACGTCTGATTGGTAGAACTCGCGGTTACCATGGCGACGTTTACCACTCCCGCGAATGGCTTAAGCGATCTGAATAATATCGGTAGTTTATGTATTTATACCTTTGCCTTTTTTGCCGTTAGGTTAAAATGTTATTTTGAGCAGAAAAAAACGAAAGATATCGGACAACAAAAGAAAAGCTTTATTCAGTCTACCAAAAGTGAAGTTACCCTGCGT